TCCTCAATTCTCAGCCTCTTGAGTAGCTAGGATTACAGGCTTAAACCACTGGCACCTGCCTGCCCCTCACCCCCTTCTGCTTATTGATAAAAGTTCAAGGCTGGGGTCCTTATAGAAAAGGCATTGATGAGAGGAAGGTCTGCAGCGGGAGGAAATGTGTTCTCAGGATGTCTGGGAAGAGGGCAAGTGGGTTTCATGGGGAGAGGGGCATGTATGTGGGTGACTGGCTTCTGAGGGACAGGCCTTGGCTTTTCAGGACTGTAGAGGGCTCTGTGAGGGAACTTCATCCCTAAGTTGGCTTGGGCAGGAGGGGAGGCTCAGGCCATGGGCCAAGGTCTGATTTGAAAGACCATGGAGAGTCTGGTGTTTCTAGGGGCAGTGATAGGATCACCTCTCTGCTTTGACCAGGTCTTCCATCATTTCAAATTGGTAACAGTGTGACTGAAGAATTACTATTCTGAGAGCCTTAACAATTGTCAGCTTAGCCATTCCTGTCTCCTTTGGATTTTCAGTAGCCATTTAAAAGAGTGATTTAGAGGGGCCTGGTCACCATTCAGGAATGATGATGGGCCTGGTTTCTGGGTCTCAAACTTCAGAACACCGTGATATCACTGAGACCCAGATTTTAACCAGTCTCTGGGTGGTCCTGGCCTCCTCTTTGAGAAGCATCACCCAGAAAGGCTCCCAAGGAATTATGCGTCTCCAGGGAGTGCCTTGGCAGGTGGCCTGGACTGGGTGTAAGCTTGATGCTGCCTGGGTTTGAAGCTGGACCTGCACATCCAATTCTGGGCAGGATTTTCTTCCATTGCACTTGGAATCCATTCTAAGAACTTTTGAGTTTCTTCAAATTTGTTTTCTAATCCTTTCCTTCTGCAGGTTTCCCGACTCCTTGGCTCACCCTGGCTGCATCTCAGATATTTTTCTTCTTAGTTTGCCACCTCTGTGGGAGAAGCAGTTCTCTGTGAGTAGGGGTGAGATGGGCAGGGAGGGAGGGAGGAGGAGGAGGAGTCTGATGAGGAGTGGGATAGGGAGGCTCTGCTCTGTTATACTGTCTGGAGCAGGAGGCTGAGCTCAGCTCAGAATTGCTGCAGTAGGGAATTGCTTACAGAGATTGGAAGGACCCAGAAGAACTGGAGAATTTTTCTGCCGGAGGGGCAGGTTTCGTTAACTTCCCTGTTTTTTTGATTGTCTCCCGGTTTGTCTTAGAAGTGTGGTGGTAAGGCTGAGATTCAGGCTGTTCCCTAGCAAGTCAGTATGGGGAGCCCAGAATTTCTAGTTGGGTGAAAGCAGGGTAAAATGAATATTAATGGCAAAAATACAGCAAGGGCAGCAAAGTCATGCAGATGGACACTGCAGCTCATGCCTGTAATCTTAGTGACGTGGGAGGGCAAGATTGTGAGGATCACGGTTGGAGGCCAGCCTGGGCAGAAACATTCACAAGAACCCATTTCAAGTGAGCACTGGGTGTGGTGGTATGTGGCTGTCATCTCAGTCACAATGAGATTCCTAGCATAGGGGGATGCAGGCCCAGGTATACACCCAGGAAGGAAGCAACACCCTATGTTAAAATTAATCAGGAAGGTAGCAAGCAGTTTAGCAGAAGAGAACAAGTTCCTTTTTAAGTGAAGAGCCAGGACCCACAGCTCCTCTTACTATCTGGCATGCCACTCAGTGGTCTCCTCCTGGGAGCTTTCCAGGATTTCCAGGTGCTCTATACTTGATCTCCAAATGCCTTGTCATGCTGTCTCGCCCTGAGGCTCATGGCTGGTGACTCCCAGTGTTCTGGAGGACTGGCAAGTGTGCTGTGCCCTGTGGAGCCAGCGAAGATTGCACTGATGCCCAGGTATGAGGCACTGTGACCATTAATAGAGAGCCTTTCCAGGAGAGCCAGGCAGGGGCCCATGCACACTCCTCTGCTCTCAGGCCTGCCTGCCTGCCTGCCATGTGACTGCCCTTTGTCCCCATTTTTGCTGAAGACACACCCTGCCTACAGTCACCATGTCAGGGGACAGCTTCAGGCTGTGGGCCAGTTTGTGTCAGGTCAGAAGTCCTGGTGCCGTCATCTCCCACAGGCCTCTGTCACCGTCTTGGTGTCACTCTGCTGTGTCCCAGTGTCCTGGACATCAGGAGCTCCCAGAGGAGGAGAGCAGACATCGGTACCCTGGGTCTCCACCCTTGACCAGCCTGCATGTTTCTCCCTCCCCCCACCCAAGCTTCTGACCACAGCATCTCTCACCACACCAGGGGAGAAGGGGGCAGGGGCAGGAGGGGGGCAAGGGTTCTAAATGTGGTTATCCACATGGAGGGCAACAGGGCTTCAGTCATTTATGTCTCTAAGCTATAATTGCATATTATTTTCTTAGTTGCTATCAAGAGCTTCAGTGAGTTATGGAAACTGGAGCTGTGGAAACTTGATCTTATCTTGGCTTTTTCCAGGCTGCTATGGTTTATCCTGATGCTTGAGTGGGTGAGCTGTGCGCATCCATCTCTTTGAAGCCAAGCAGCACACACAGCCAACCGCAAAGTTGAGTCTTCTGAGTTGACTCTGGAAGCAGAGCAAATCTGGGCCCTTGGGTCTCCTGCCTCTCCCAGGGCCTTTTGCTCGCTCAGGGTTGGGGGTGCTGCTGTGGCTGAGGGTGTATATGTGCTAATTATCCATCCTGTGGATCCATCCTGTTCTAATTATGCATCCTGAAACTGGAGACAGACCTGATCCCAAAGCCCACTGTCTCCCTCCCCTCACAAGCCCTTCTTTCTCTGGGGCCACAGTAATGCTTTGTCTTCAGGAACTTTCCAGTGGTCCCTAGAACGCCTGAATGGATGTCTTTTGATCTTCTCTTCTTATAAAATCACTAATATTCTACCTCAATAACGTTATCTAATTCAAGCATCCCCTTCTTCCAGCAGAGTCGCTGTGTGTGTGTGTGTGTGTGTGTGTGTGTGTGTGTGTGTGTAGTGTAATGGTCATCCCATGTTGAGATGAGAGAGGCAGGAGATCAGATAACAAGACAAGGGATGGGGAGATTGAAGATAGAAGTAGAAGTCCATGCTTCTCTTGGGCTGCAGTGTAGACACAGAGAGCCAGCGAAGGTGTTGGGGTGGGGTGGGGAGGTGGGAGAACCTGCTGTACTGCTGGGGCATATGGAGGCCCAGGGAACTGGGAGTGATGACTTATGCTTGTACATTTCATCAGTTAATGGAGGAGAGATCAAATGCTCTAACAGTGAGATGTTTAAGAGTGTTGGGAACCAGAACCACAGACTTAGAATAATACAATGAGTTCCACGACCTGATTGATGAAAGAAGACAAGAATGGAAATCCAAGGTCAGCTCTGAAAACATTGTTGGGATTAGGGTCTGGGTGGTTGAGGGGCACACATTTGATTGGAGCAGATAGAAGTACCAGAAAATGGACCCTAAGGCCAAGCCCTGTCCCTACAGTCATTTTCATTGGCTAAGCTGCATGGTAGGTATTCAGATAGCTGCCATTCCTTGTGGTTTTTCTTTAATCTTTCTGTATTGAGTCTCTAAGGTTTGTACTTTGGTGGTTTTTGTTCATGTTATATATCCAAGTTCAGAATATTCTAGATACAATGAACTCCAGAGACATTCGACTTTTTTTTGGGGGGTGGGGGTCCGGTCGTGGGGCCTGATCTCTGGGGCTGGGCGCTGTCCCTCAGCTCTTCAGCTCAAGGCTAGCGTTGTACCACTTGAGCCACAGCACCACTTCTGCCTTTTTTCTTTTTTGCTTCTGTGGTGCTGAGGAATCGAACCCAGGGCCTCAGGCATGCAAGGCAAGCGCTCTACCACTGAGCCACTTTCCCAGCCCTGACATCATCTTTTTATACTTGATTTTGTATCTATGAATCAGACTTTAATTAAAATTCACAGTATGCGCTGGTAAGCCTCACCTAAAAAGCTGAATTGGGGAGAACAATTGCATTCAAAGTCTTGTCCTACCTCAGCAACAGTCTCCTCTTCTGATCTGTGGCTTCCATGTAATTTAAGATTACACCCCAGCCTGCTTATTTATGCTTTACTTTTGAGGGTGCAAGAAGTCAGATTTGGCAATGGGAGAGTCTTTGATGGACCTTACCACATACTGGTGATATGAAAGGGTCTCTGGAAGCTAGGAGTACAAAACTGTTGTCTCCTGGGAGAGGTTTTGTTCCTAAAACTCCTCTGTCATTTAATAGTCTGCCACTTTGCTCACAGTGAGAGCCATAACAGGCTGACCAGTCCTTGCCAAGACCAAGGACTTGTGCAAGGTGTGTACCATTATAGACCTCTGTCACCACTTCCATTCTTGTTGTAGAGGAAACCAACTCAGAATGTCAAGAATGTCCCCTCCAACCCTCAGTCCTGAATCTTCCCACTTACAGTGATTAGTTCTGCAGGACAGTATGTTAATTACATAAATCATCCCCCTTAAAAAAAAAAGACATACTACATGTTTTCACTTACCTGTAAAAGCTAAATGGTTAGTCTTGAAGTACTAGGGAATAGACGGATGATTACCAGAACATGAAAATGGGGTGGGGTGAGTGAATAGAAGATGGTTTATGGTTACAAGAGTGAAGTTGGATTAAATAGGTAACTGTTTTTGGTGCTGAGTTTTGAACACAGGACCTCATGCATAGAAGTGTATATTGTAGGGCTGGGAAGGTGGCTCAGTGCTAGAGCGCTTGCTTTGCAATGCATGAGGCCCTGGGTTCGTTTCCTCAGCACCACATAAGCAAAAGGAAAAAAAAAGGCGGAAGTGGTGCTGTGGCTCAAGTGGTAGAGCGCTAGCCTTGAGCTGAAGTGCTGAGAGACAGCACCCAGACCCAGAGTTCAGGCCCCACAACCAGACCAAAAAAAAAAAAAAGTGTATATTGTACCACTGAGCAAGGTCACGCAGTTTAGAAGGAATATCTATGAAAGTTAACCCATTATGGTTAAAGGTGATTGGTTGTGGGGCAGGGATGTAAATGGGGAGTATGGGTTAATGTGTAAGTGAAGAACAGATAGACAGATAGATAGAGACAAACATATATACACACATTTATGTATAGATGCATTCATATCTATATATGTAGACATATATATGTACATACACTATATGAAAATAACATAATGAAACCCACTCAACACTGTGAACAGGCAGTTAAGGAAATGTGATAATAAAAAAAAGGGCGAACTTGGTCTAAGTGCATGTGTCCATCTATGGAATATAGTAATGAAATCCTCCTGTATTATACACATGTGTGAGAATAAAAAGCAAAGATGATTTATTAACTGTCTGAAAATAGCTAGCATGAATGTGCCAGTGGCCAGGCCAGTTCTGTGAGTGGATAATTAAACATTAGACACTCATGTGCCTCTGGTCTGTACCCTGTCTGTGTCTTAACCCAAGAATAGGTATATGGCCTGGCAACAAAACAAACACAGACAAAAATATTTAAATAAATTAAAAATGTGAAAACAGATATTCTTGTTTTCTCTTCTCTCAGGAACTGTGTTTAGCAAAGTTCTGGGCAGAGGCAGACACTGTCTTGATTATATTGAGGTAGCGAAGTGTAGGTCACCTGCTGCACAATGAGGTGAGGAATTGCACAGGAGGTACAGGAGTCCTGGGGGAAGACTCTATGGACAGTGCTCATAATTGCCCAGTAGAGCAGATGGAGTGACATTGTGTCCACACAAGTATATTCTGGGGGATAAAAAGCTCTTTGAGTAACAGGAGAGGAAAAAGGAGGCCTCTCCCTTTCTGGGGTCTTTCACTTTGACAAATTAATTCCTATTTAATTTACAGCGATTTATGTTCCCAACAGCCTTGAGCAATGTAGAAGTTCGGTTTGCATGACAGAAATTGCTAGTGGGGCAGAGTAAGGAAATGCTGGGTGACATACAGACAAGTTGACTGAACTAGGAAGTGAACTCACCCTACTGTTAGAGAGGCAGTGATAGACCATGCTTCTACATTGATACATTCATACATATATACACATATATACACATACATACACATGTGTATGTATAGATAGGAATATACATATATGTGTGTATCTATGTATGCATATATATGTATATATATATGATTCTCTTGGTGGGCATATCTGAAAATCCAAGACTATGCATTATATTTCTTGGTTTCCTCTTCCTGTCTTCACCATCTGTTTCTCATCTGTGATTAGTTCTCTTGGTGGACACAGTCCTCCCTGACTTGGAGACAGTATCTGTCCACATCCCAAACAGAAAGTGTTCAGGGATCTCTGGGCAAGCGAATGTTTCCCCACTGCGTTCCTTCACTCTGGGGGACAGGCCGAGCACAAGTGTGGCTGTGAGGACCGGAGCACAGCTGTGGTCAGCACCAGTTGACACGGTGGCACATGGAGTCCTGCTCACATTACTCCAGTATATTAGACCAAACATGCTGTGAGATTGACGTTTAATGGGGCCACACTTGGGAGAAGAATCCTGTGCACTCTGCAGGAACAATTTTGCAACATCTCATGTCCCATTTGCCACATTCTTCAAAAAATCTCATGAATCCAAACTTGTCTTCATAAAGCCAGTTGACTGCTTGCTTGATTCTGGTTATTCCTTGAACTTGCAAATTTTTGTTTGCCTGAATAACATGTATTTTTGTCTCAACGTTAACAAGGCAAAATTAAATATGTTATATACTTTGTACAATAAATGCTAAGTATAGGGAAAAAAAGGGCCACAAGGAAATAAATCATTAATAGACTAGGTAGTGACTTGCTAGCAGGTTGTGAACCCTGAGAATGTAAGAGTTCACTCACAACTAAGAATAGTTAATGGAAATTCTCCTTGCTAAGTTTTAGTTTTTTTTTTTAAATGTAAAACGATGAGATGAAACTTCAGTGTTTCCTTTTTTTTGTTATTTTGCAGAAAAAAACCATGTCTGCAATAATCAAGGAGGTGTGTGATGGGTAAGTGTTGCAAAGATTCTTCTGAAGCATTCAGTCCATACATTGGCAGGAACATAGAGTATTTCCACTGGAGGGATAAAATATTATCTTTCCCCTATTCCTCTAAGACTAGACAGCATGGAATGGCTGGCTCCATGTGTACAGTGGGTTGGTTTTATTTCTTTTGAACAGTTGTGTTCCTTTTGTCCTTCCAAACAGGGAACCTTTAGACTAAAGGTTCCTGAGAGTTAAATACACACTCCATCTGACATACACTGAAAGCATCCCACAGGCCCCTGTGGAAGATGGCAGAATTAACAGACAAGTCCATGGGTAATTGTGTGCTTTGTGGAATTTTCTCACTGACTGATATGGCTTTCCCTCTTCTTCTGGGCTGTCCTAACAATCCTGGGGAAGGGTACATTGAAAAGTCGCATGGTATTCCTTGACTTGTAAAGCAGAACTGTGAACAGAATATCAGCGGAAGTTAGAGAAGACTTAGTTGGTGTATGTATGGAGTGTCTGTATGGAGTGGACTGATTGTGAGTTAGAGAATTCAGTGACAATTGGCAATGTGCTAATTATCACACGTTTAAATTGCTGCCACTTACCTTGCTATCATTTCTCTGCCTCAATTCTTCAAAAGAAGAATGTTGCCACTCACAGTTTAAGACCCCCACCCAAGCCTCGAAGATGAAATGCTTAAAGGTGAGCAGTAGCCTTGGTCTAGGAATTTCAAAGAGGAAAGCACTGTTGGTCTCAGGTAATAGGTGAGTTAAAGTCATTTTGTTTAGAGATTCCCCATTGTGCCTGTTTGAGACCGGCTCTATTCAAATCATGGTGAATGTAATTCAGCTCACCCCCAAAAATTAATAAAAATGAAGATGAGCACTTTTGTTTCTCTGATCACTTATGCTATGTTTTATAGGTGGTCTCTTTTTTTTTTTTGGGTCCAGTCGTGGGGTCTGAACTCTGGGCCTGAGTGCTGTCCCTCAGCTCTTCAGCTCAAGGCTAGCACTCTACCACTTGAGCCACAGCGCCACTTCCGGCTTTTTTCTTTTTGCTTATGTGGTGCTGAGGAATCGAACCCAGGGCCTCAGGCATGCAAGGCAAGCGCTCTACCACTGAGCCAACTTCCCAGCCCAGTAGGTGGTCTCTTGCCAACCATGAATGCTTTGCACTGCAACATGCTGACAGTTCACACTTGTATATCATGGAAAAGGTTGGCCAGCCGCATTGTTTAATCTGGGATACTTACACTGAAGAACGGTACACAGAGTCTGGGATTTCTTTTTTTTTTTTTTGTCGGTGGTGGGGCTTGAAGTCTGGGCCTGGGCGCTGTCCCTCAGCTCTTCAGCTCAAGGCGAGCGCTCTACCACTTGAGCTACAGCGCCACTTCCGGTTTTCTGGTGGTTTATTGGAGATAGGAGTCTCAAGGTCTCTCCTGCCCGGGCTGGCTTTGAACTGCGATCCTCAGATCTCAGCCTCCTGAGTAGCTAGGATTACAGGCGTGAGCCACCAGCGCCCAGGTTTGGGATTTCTTCTTTGTAGGGCCTAGCATGCTACATTAAGTTTTATGTCTTCACTATCCATAATAATAGGAGCTATAAAAAAATAAAAAACAAAAAACTAGCAAACTAAAACCGTACTACTTCTTACAAGAAGATAGTTATTCTTTTCAAGACTAAAGGCTAAGTATGTTTCTGAATCCTGTTAGCAAATTACATTTCCTTTTTAGCAATTAAGTATTGCTGGGTTAGAGAATTTACTTGATACTGGATAACTTAGTTTAGTTCTCTTGCTTCAGATTTTAATTTCTCCTGTAATTTTTTCCCCCTGGTCCTGGCCTAGGTGCTGTCTTTGGTTTCTTTTGCTCAAGACTAGTGCTCTACCACATGAGCTGCAGCTCTCCTGTGTGTTGTTTTTTTTTTATGTAGTTTATTGGCCATTAAAGTCTCACTGATTTTACTGCCTGGGTTAGCATTGAAACATGATGTAACTAGGATTACAGGCGTAAGCTACCAGCACTCAGTTTCCTCTGTCTTATTAGTTTTTTAAGAGCTTGAAACAATGACAGGAAATCTTTTCAGTTGTTGCACTGTGTAGTCACTTGCTTATGACTGTTGGAAACCAACTTTCTTCCTGGGTGATCTTCACATTCTTTAGAAAGCTTGAATGAGGGCTGGGAAGGTGGCTCAGTGGTAGAGTGCTTGTCTTGCATGCATGAGGCCCTGGGTTTGATTCCTTAGCGCCACATAAGCAAAAAGAAAAAGCCAGAAGTGGCACTGTGGCTCAAGTGGTAGAGCGCTAGCCTTGAGCTGAAGAGCTGAGGGACAGCGTCCAGGCCCAGAGTTCAGGCCCCACAACCGGACCCCCCCCCAAAAAAAAGCTTGAATGAGAAGCGATTTGTAAAGAGTATAAATGGATCTAGAAGCAAGGAAATTTAGTACCCTAAAGATCTCTGATGGGAGAAGGGGAATCTAGCATTTGCAGAGCACCTACTGGGTACCAGGTACTGAGCCAAGCAAATTATATTGGTTTGTTGATTTTTTTTTCCTTACAAGTTAATATAATGGATGAGAGGCCAGATGATTGAGATCACACAGCTACACCAGTGTCACTTACTTGACTCTTTAGTCAAGAAGTGAGATTTGATTTTTGTGCCTCAAGTATTTTATGGAAATATCCAGAATGGATTAGCATTCAGCTCACATTTGGGGCAAACTAACTAGTACTGTATTTGTGGGTGATGACTATGTGGAGAGAAGATTCCCCCAGGGAATGGTTGACTGTGCTCCAGAGGTTTCAGTCCATTGGCTCTTGACTAGGGTGCTGTGGTGGGCAGAACATGATGGTGGGTGTCTTATGGTAAACTAAGTTCATCACCTCATGGGAGCTAAGAAGGGTAAAGAGTGGAGAGGTGGCTCTCCTCCCTGCTCTCCCCCACCCTGCCCGCACACATGTCCTCCTTGCCTCCCTCCACACATAATATTTGGACCTAACTTCCTCCTACTGGGGTTCACCTCTTAAAAGCTTCATGAGCTCTTCTTAGCACCAGGGCTGGGCACCAAATCTCAATTTTATACATGCCTTTGGGAAACATTTGTTCACACCACGCCCCTTGAGAACAAAGTGGGTGTTTGAATAATATAATACTACTTCTCAGAAACATTTGGCCTCAGACATCAAAGACATTTTGCTCCTTTACCTTGTATGGTTTTTTGAGGCATGAGTATTTACTAGAAACAAAATTTCTAAGTATACTTTCATTATTATATTCCTGTGCATTTATACTTTATTTGTGTTTCTCTTTCACAGTATTACAAAATTGTACCTGGCGACACATTAAGAGGGGATGATGGGGGATGAAATTCGGAATATGTTGGTAAGTATCTTTATAGTATTGGCTAAGCTTTCCTGTACAGTGGTGTTCATTACTACAATACTTGTAGCTACAAACAACTGGTTATCCCTTATGTTAGACAACGAAGGACTGTTCAGATTATGTGTCCTTCTTTGCGTATCTCAGCTCTGATAGTCACTGTTTTCTGTTCCTCCATCTTGTAGCTTTGGTCTCTGGGTCTGGAGTCTTCACAGGTTATCCTAAACCATGAACTAATGACTCTTACAACTAGCCGGAACAGTAGACTTCCAGTTCATCCATCATCCATTTCCAAAGCCATAGGAAAATCATTTCCTCTCTGATGACAGTGGACAGTTTTATGCCCTGACTGGATTCCCTGTGCCTGTTTGCCTGTCTGGGTTTCTGTTTGTGTGTCTGTGGATGTGTGTTCATTCAGAAAGACATCTGAGACAAATAGCCACCCTCAGCCAGCTACTTGCCATGAAGTATGTCTTATGGATAGAGAAGAAGTCACAGATGGTAACTTTGTCGTTTGAGTCTTGTAGAGGATGTGGTTGAAGTTTCTCTCCTTGGTCATTCAGATCTACATGAGCCGTGAATGTCAATTGCGATGCCTGTGAATTCTGTCAGGATCACCTATGCTGAACTATGCACTTTTTTTGCTCCCTTCCTAAAAACTTGGTGATGCTTCCCCTGTGGGTACATATAAGAAGCATGCTTTGTTTCTTTTTTTATTTTTTTTTTATTTGTGAACATGCTGTACAGAGGAGTTACAATTACATGGACAGGATAAGAAGCATGCTTTGTTTCTAAGTAGAAGTTTGGGGAATGGAAATACCACAGAACACACAAAGCTTTCAGTGATCAAATTTCACCACACTTTAGAAAATAGGCATTTGTAAACACCACACCTCTCATTATCATGATTTTGAGCCAAGACAGTGACATTCTATTGTTCCCCCTCCCCCCAGGGGGAAATGTATAATGCTACTGTGGTCAAACCTGATGATGTGAATAGTAGAAAAGCTCTGCAAATTAAAAACAAAACAAAAACAAAAAAGAAAGTCACATTTGCTCACGATAGTTTCATTTATTTGAGAAGTTACAATATGTGTATGGATAATTGGGAGACAAGTTTGTAACAAAATAAAACAAATGCAGTGATGTATGGGGTACTTCTAAATGCTTTGAACATTGTGTCTTTAAAAAACCACAGCTGAGGGGCTGAGTAGGTGGCTCAGTGGTAGAGTGCTTGCCTTGCAATGCATGAGGCCCTGGGTTCGATTCCTCAGCATCACATAAGCAAAAAGAAAAAAGCCGCAAGTGGCGCTGTGGCTCAAGTGGTAGAGTGCTAGCCTTGAGCTGAAGAGCTGAGTGACAGCGCCCAGGCCCAGAGTTCAGGCCCCACAACCGGACCCCCCCCCAAAAAAACCTACAACGGACTGACCACTCTAGCCATTCTTACTAAATAACATTGCTTGAGCCACTAATCTATATCACTTATAAATACTGTATACCATACAGTGGATTGTAACAAATACTATTTCTGTTTAATAATTAGAAATTGGATCTAATTGTCAGCTCACATCAACTTGCTTGATTCTTTGTGCCTTAGGTCTGTGACTACAAAAGATGATTTTGGTGACTTTCATTCTTTATTTCCAGCCCTTCTTCATCTTTCCTTCCTCCTTTGTTCCATCATTCCTTTCTTCTGCCTTTACTTCCTTTTCTTCTTTCCTCCTTCCTTCTTTGCTTTGTTCCTGTTTCTTTTCCTTTCCTTCCTCGCTTCCTATCTTCCTTCCTTCCTTCCTTCCTTCCTCCTCCCTCCCTTTTTCTATCTTGCTTTCTTTTTCTCTTCCCTTCCCTCCCTTCCTTCGTTCCTGCCTTCGTTCCTTCCTTCATTCCTTCCTTGCTTCATCTTTCTATCTGTCTGAACTGGAATTTGAACTGAGGAGCCTTGTGCCTACATTGCTTCTTCATCATCCTTCAACCTACAATTCTTTAATTTGATTTTGTTATGCTGTATGTCATTATTTTCTTTGTTATTTCACATTATCTGGATCTTCTCTATTCTCTTCTTCTCACCCTGCTTTGTATTGACTTTATTCCTGTACATCCTCCTGTTTTTCTCCTTTGCCTAGTTTTGTTCTCAAGTACTATTTTCTCCAATAAATTTCATTCCTATTCATCATAACTAATATCTTATTTTATGGAATATTATCTTATGTCCTGTTTTCATCTACTCTTTTTGGAATTGTGGGATAATTACTTTTGCCTGGGGGCTGCTCTTTTTATTTCCATGGCTGCTTTGTCTGTCAGCTATGGAACAAAGCCATTCATCACCTCACTAGGAAAACACAAGACGACATAACCCTTGAAATGTGCATTACACATGCACGCACACACACACACACACACACAGATTTCATCAAGTTCAATTGGAGAAATTCCATTCCAAAGAATGATTCCAAGAATGAGGAACATATGCAAATACAATGCAGTTACCTCTGCCTTCCATACATCCTGGATTATAGGTGTATCCCATTTGCTTAGTTTCCCCAGGGAATTGATGGGGTCCTTCCATGATGTGCATGTAAACCTGAGTGACTTAGTCATGCCTGTAGATAACGAGCTTTTACTTGTGTTCCCTGTGATCTCACATCACATCTATAGATAGCCCTCTGCAAGACAGCCCAATGCAAGATTAGTCATAGAAGCAGAGGAGACAAAGATGCTCAGGGAAG